TAAACAGTTTGTGTAAAACCTGAGTAATTTATTTCTTGACAGTATTTACTTGTAAACCCATCTGGCACAGGGTTTTGTTTTTATTTTTCCAGTTGGAAGTTGCTGTTGTGGCCTGTTCAATTTCTTTTGCTAAGATTTGGTTATTTAAAATCTCTATTTCCTTTTCTGTTAATCTAGATTTTTTGTAATTTTTATAAATATATAAATATACCTTTCATTTATATCACATTTTGTTGGAATATATTTGTTCAAAACAATTCTACAGGAATCCTTGAGTTCTAGCTCAGTTTCCTGGTGGCTTGACCCAGGTTCTGGCATCATACTAGTCTGTATTTACTTGTTTCACAATCCCCTAGTGGGAGTTGGCTCCACCCTTTGCAGTGGCTTTGACAGGCCCCCCAACTAGTTGCTGTCTATAGCACTGGTTATATGACTCTCATTGATTGTAATAGCCCTATCTCCTACTGCATCTCTGGTAGGGCTGTCTGTACATTGTATTATCCCTGTCCGTGGCTCTGGCTTTGACTACTTGGACACTACACAATCCCTACCCCTTGCTGTGACTCTGGAATGGCAGGCCTTAGTGCTGCATTGCCAGGCCCCAAGTTGGCTCTGTCTCCTGCTGTGGTTCTGTCTCAGACTACCTAGACACTTGATTGCTCCAAAGCAGGCTGCCTATGTATTACATTGCCTGGATATTATGTTGGCTGTTATGAGCTGGGTCTGACTCAGGCCAGTGTCCTGTGAGTTTAGGTTCAACAGACATTATTACGTGATTGAACAGTAGCAAAAAGAGTTTTACTTTGTCATGACAAGAGAATGATATTCAACAAGGACAGAAACTGAAGACACCTTGAGTTGACTTAGCTAATTAAACAAAGCTCCCTTGCTGGCACTACTTATGATTCATCAGCCAAACCTATGAGAGAGGCCTCAGCTTAAACTTCATGGGGGAAAGGGATTAAGATATTGCTCCTACCAAACTCTACCCCTTGATGGTAAAGTTTTTAATATCTTTTAGAGGACATTCTACCACTTACTACCACTTAAACAACTTTAGGTCTGGTACTGGTCTACCCTGACCTCCAATATTCAAGAAGCCCGATATAAGTAGCACTAAAGGAAGAAGAGGAAAACTAAAACAGAAACATAACAAGACAAAACAAAAAAAGGACTGAATCTGGAAGAGTCCCAGGAAGGACTGAGACACATCTAAATAGTCAGATCTATATGATGGGTAATGACAATTTTTTGAAGTTTATAGTGGGTATTTCATCAGGAACATCTGGGCTATAGCAAAGATGACACTTCCTACATGGTCACTGATCCTCATCATAGGTCAGGGAGCATCTGCCCTGTATTGCCACTCACTTGGTGTTCCCTGGGCCACTAGCCATGATCGTGCCTTTCCTGGGAGACTGATTGGGGGAGGAAGGAATATAAATATGTTGCCTCTTATAAGAGAAGCCTCTGAGGGACTGCCCCCTTTCTCCTGAAGGGGAGTGGGGGGTGGGGTCTGGCCAGACATTTATACCTTGCCCCCATTGGGGAGCTCCCTCCCAACAATGCCACCCTTTAGTCCTCCAAGCCTTCCTTAGAAAGGAGTTGTACTCTTATCAAAGGGAATACCTGAGGTTTTTAGCTCTGTCTGTTGGCCCAAGGCCAGTTGCCACCAGGGCTCTCATCTTTGCTTCCTGCTCACTATGCCAGAGTCAGGTACTCCCCCTGTGCCAAGTCAAGCCAAGACAACTACTACTACAGCACTTCTGCAAAATGCTGAGACAGATTTTGCTGCAGGCCTAAGCACTAATGCACTAGCAAGGCATGACTCAGCCACTAAGACAGGCCAACTCCCTACATAGAAGTCTGCTGTGCGTATGCTGTGTCTCAGCCCTCCTGTGCTCAGCAAAAGTTTCATGGATGCTATTGATGCAGGGGCCTGACCCTACTCTCTGAGCCTGGGGAAAAGACAGAAAGCAACACACAAAGGCAACAAAACCAGACTCCTACAAGCCAGTACATGTGCTCTATTTCCAAAATGTTTCTGAGGTCATGGGACAAGAGGTTTAGGGGAAAGGGTGGGAAGAAAAGTGAGATACAGCGATAGAGAAACAGACAGACACACAGACAGATAGATGGGGGGTGGGGAAGGAAAGAGAGGGAAAGAGTATGAGAATTACAGTTCATAGTTCAGGGGTGAGAGTGGAAACTTTTAAAATTGATAGAAAACCCTTGCCTGTCCTTAGTTCATCAAATGGGGTCCAATTGCGATATCTGTTTATATCCTTAATTCCAGAAATGTCTCTCAGCTCCTGGGGAGAATTTGGCATTGTCTTTTCAAATACCTCCCCCTGCCCTCCCGCCCCCCCACACACAATGGCTTATGCCAAAGAATCACAACAAAATCTTTGTGGCAAAATTGCAGTTAGTCTTTCAGATACAAATTTTTAAAATTAAACTAAAGTTACTTTGGCATAGCTATTAGACAATCCCTAAAAAAAGGAATGTGGGTTAGTTTGCATTCTCACTACCGGGCTTCAACTGTCAATGGTTAACTATGACCACATACAATTACAGGTCTGAGGAGTGCTGGTTCAGTTGCAGTTATTTCCAAAGTCACTGGAAACCAGTTTACACAAATTTGGGAGGGGCCTTATTTTTCAGGAGGACTTTCCCAAAGTAATTGGGTGATGACGAATACCAATAAAAAAGCATCCATTCTCAACAAGAACTTGACACCACTAGTTTTCAATTTGTCCATTTCTAATATGGGGAAACATTCTTTTTTCCATTCCACAAACTCAGTCCCTCTGGTTGCTTTGAAGGTAGAGTGAATGAAAAGAACCTCTATCTCTAGCAGTACTTGGAGGAAGCTTAAATTATGAGGCTGAAAGACCCTAAAAAGCTAGAGGACCTAAAAACAGTTTACAGAAATTATCTTCAAGGGACATTTAATTACCAAGGAAATAGGGCATATTCACATTGTTCTCTTCTTGCTGAATAGCAACAGGCAGTTTATTCTCTAATCTGCCAGGAGGAGGGAGTGCCTCCAGGTAAGAGATGTGTGACCCAGAGGACTCAGGGTTCAGACTTCTCTAACATTTGTAAAGGCATCACCAAAAACACCACTGGAAGCTTGAAGGCTAATCTGGGCTCAACCTTCTTCTCTATCCTACCTTTCAGAGAGCTCATAATGTTCTAATCCTGCAAGGCTATATTAATTGTTCAGAGATCAGACTAAGGTCAGTATCTAGGTAGTTTAGGAGATACTCAAAAGATCATTATATTGTTAACAAAAAAAAATTTACTTTTCATGCCAAAATGATATTCAACAAAGATAGGTACTGAAAATACCTCCAGTTGATTTAGCTAAGAAAGGCTCCCTTGACAGTTACCCATCATGATTCATTAGCCCCCCTCCTCCCTCCCATTCCTTGCAGCTGCTTTTGTACTCAGGTAATGAGGAAGTGAAGTCATTAGTCTTGAGCTCTTAGTCCTCTGGGTCACACGTCAAAAAAATCAAAAGTGAACATAATACAATTATAATGATCAAAATGGACTCCAATGAAGAAGGAAGAAAAGACATCCCTAACCTACCCTTCATGGAGGTGGGAGGTCCACAGATGTTACACATTGCACATATTTTCAGGCTTTTTCAATGGACTGATCAGTTGAGCTGATTTCTCCCCCTTTAAAAAAATACTATTTGTCACACAGGATGGCTCTCTGGGAAGGCTCCCCTTAGAATAACTGCTTAGAATAACTACAGTGAAATAATAAACAAAAAAAGTCAATAAAAACTTAAAAAAAAAATACAAATCAAAACAACAGAGGTTTCCCCTCACACTACTCAAGGTGGTAAAGACTAAAATATATGAAAATAGTTAATGCTACAGGTACTAGAAGGAGACACGCTAATATACTACTATTAGAACTATGTATAGATCCAACCATTCTAGAAAGCAATTTGAAATTATGCTATAAAAGTGAATAAAATGTCCATACCTTTTGACCCAGTGCTAGGAACATACTGTATGAACATCAAAGACAGAAACGTCCCATAACCACCAAAATACTCATAGCAGCACTTTTTGTGGTGGCAAAGAACTAGAAATAAAGTAGATGCCCATTGGGGAATGGCTAAATAAATTATGGTACATGAATATAATGGAATATTACTGTGCCAGAAGAAATGATGACTATGAAGAATTTAGAGACACTTGAAAAAAAGGTATATGAAGTGATGCAGTGTGAAACACAACCAAAAAAACAAGATATACAATAATTACAATGTAAACAAGAACACTACCCAATAAAGAGAAGTGAACTCTATCTAATTATAACAGCCAAGGTTGGCCACAGAGCAAAGCTAAGAAACTGCATTTCCCTAAATTTATTGTAAAGGCAGGGGCTATAGTTCTATCAGGTTCAGTTGATGTGTTGGTTAATTTTGCTGAATTTATTTATTTTTCTTTCTTTTTAAAAAAATGTTTGTCACTAGGGATGTTTTCTGGGTAGAGAGGGAAAGAGTATATTAAAATATTCATGTAATGTAAAAAAACAATGGAATCAATAAATATAAGAAAAAATTTCAAAAAGATAAAAAGGGAATGGTGAACAGAGTAGACTAGAATTGTAATTGTTTCAAATCTGTCTTTCTGGGTTTTTTTTTTAATGATTGGGTGAACTACAAGATAGCAGTAATGCAAGGAAAACATTTTAATCAATAAAATCCAAGTAAAAACTTGTTCATGACACAGAAACGTGAAACCCATTGTTTTACAAACCCTAATTGAAAAACTCAGTTTAGCTAATGAGGTCTTCAGTAGAAAAATAATAGTAGCAGTCTCTTCTCAGAACAGAAAGTCTGTACTATAATATGTAAAAATAAAATTTATTCCAATAACATAATTATATAATCTCTTTTTAGTTTTAAATCTAGGATCTTTTGCTAGTTTATGGAATCAGTAGAAATGACCTTCTGTAGATCCACTACTTACTGATCTTTGAGGTCTGTAAACTGTTTTTCAAGATTTGACATTTCATCTAAGCACTCCATTCTTCTTCTTTCACAGTCTTCATCATCCATTTCTGTTAATAAAAGCATGAACATTACTAATTATAGTTGAAATATCATAAAATTGATCAGGTGGTACAATCCATGATATCACTGAAATTTATAAAGCAGATTAAAAAACTTATAAATATGAGCTTAAATGCTGGGACCTCATATACAGTCTTAATGTAAGCAAATACTGTTTTATCTAAAATAATTACTACTATGAATTTTAATCTAAAATATGGAAGACTTAAATATAAAACTTCATATATCTTTAATGTGACCTGGATCTCTCAATATTTACAACTAATGCTTTCCCGAAAAACTGTATATAGGACTAGGAAAGGCTTCCTTCAGGCATGGCATAAGCCATATCTGAAAGGAAGCCAGGAGGTGGAGACAAGGGAAAATATTTCAAGTATAGGAAACAGCCAGTGAAAGTTTTGGGGGATGGTGTGTTATATGTGAGAAATAAAAAAGCCAATGCAACTGGATCATAGAATACATGGGGGTAGGGGAATAAACTGTAAGATCAGAAGAATAGGAAGGGGTCAGACTATTAAGGGCTTTAAATACCAAAAGGATTTTATATTTAAACCTGGAAGTAATATAGAATCAGTGGAGTTTATTGGGGGGAGTGCAGGGTGGGGGGCAGGCAATATCCTCAGAACTTTGCTTTAGGAAATCACTTTGGCAACTTAGTAGAGAATGAATTGAAACAGCAAAGACTTGCAGCAGTAAGATTAACCAGGAGATTATTGAAAAAGATACGTGCACCATTGGAGGATAAGCCTGGCCAACTAAGAGAAGTTTCATTACCATTTGGTAAATTTTTTTGGATAAAGTTATTACTGAAGATCACATATGCAGGCAGACAAGGGTTTTGAAATGTATTGATAAGAAAGAGTATCTACAATGGTGGAATCACCTTCAGTTGACCCTACCATCCCTTCAAATTTGGTCTCACCTCCCACTTAGAGTCAAACTACTAGACAAAACAGGTGCATATTGCCTGCCTTCTTCAAAATTGCCAATTCTCTCTTAATTGCTAAATAGGATTACCTTTTAAGATTACCTTAATCTTTCCTCCACCCTCTTAATTCAGTTTTTTGTTTTGTGTTTTTAAGCTGCTAACCACCCCTTTTCTCCAAGTGGGAAACCTGTGGCCTTGAGGCCACATGTGGCCCTCTAGGTCCTCAAATGTGCTCCTTTGATTGATGATTTGGATTCGGGCAAAGGGCTAAACTTGAGGAGACCTAGTGGGCTACTACACGTGGCCTGGGATCCACACCCTATCCTAGATACTCTCTCCTTTGACTTCCAGGACACTAGTCACTTTTGGTTATTCACCTATTCAATAGCACCAGTATCTCCCAAAGTTTTCCCCTTAATCTCTTCCCCTAACAAGGGTTTAAAAAAAAAAAAAGGCAACAAAGCCAGGACTTAATTAGCCTGGAGTAGGCTAAGGCCCAAGCTCCCTGGTGGCCTCTGGCTTATTGACAAGGCTTTCTACTCTTAATATAAAATGTCCAAGTCAAATGGAGAGGGGTTGGGGGAAGGGTCCTTAGTGGATATCTGAAGACCATACAAGTCATCACACCTTGCCCTACTGAACAGGCACATTTCCATGTCAAGTTAGGAGTTGCTTCTACAGAAGTGCTACTGGATCCTTATTGTATAATCTTAGAGCTAAGTAAACTTCCTTTTGTTGACTTTGAAGATTTGAGAATGCCTCATTTAGTCTCAACATCAAAACAGAAGTAACAGTTACTATTTATTAGTATATTATATATACTATATAATATATATTTATACAACATTATATATTTATTACTTTAAGCCTAGACAACTAACAAAACAATAAACCAAACCCTGATTTGTAGCTTTGCCAATTTCCAAGGTGTAAATGCTCACCCTGAAAATTTAACAATCAGCTCATGAGCTGGTAAGGGCTCCGGCTCCAGCACACCTTTGCTGCAAAACATATAATATTGACTGAGTTGAAGGAAGGGCATTTCGAATCTGGAGAGCAAGGTGATTGAAGCATAGCTAAACACAAGGCCCTTCTGATGGTATATGGAGAGACCTCTCAATGCAACAGTGAGCAGGCTCAACTAGAGTGATTAGCTGGGTGCTGAAAAATGTTTTCTGAGTAAAGAAAGCACCAAATCTAACATTTCTTGGTTGACCATCCTGCAGAAGAAATATGTCAAAGTAATAAGACGAAAGAGCAGAACAGAGCACTCACCAAAAACAGAGTTCTTAGCTATTAAACACTATGCAATGAAGGCAGAGGAGCAGTCAATGAAGCTGGTGACAGAAAGTGAAGGGATTTCCCCTAACGGAAACTGATAGGATACATCAGAAACTCAGCCTATTGGGGGTACTATTAAAATTGAGCAGGGAAATTCAGCTTCAGGACAATAGGTGTCCTTCTTCAGTATCCTTCCCTAGCCTAAGGCATCCTTTAAAGTGTCTGCCCCATTTGAATCATTTGGAGGAGGATAAAGAGGGCAGACCATGAAGGGAATGGGGTATAATGGGTTCTTGGGAGTCATTATTCGAGTGGACAATTTCTGCAATCTTTATATATTACTGTAGTAGGGACAAATAGTAACCCTTAAGAGTTTCTGAGCCATCTTGGGCTGTTAACACTAAACAAGAGTAGGTCCTAGGAGAATGTAAAATATTTCTTCTCTAATTATGGACATGGTGGAAGCTGGAATACTTTGTTATACCAGCTCCCCTTACAACATACCTATGGTGCCCACAAGGAAGTCAGATGGCACCTGGCAGCTTACATTGGACTAAAGGGAGCTAAAAGAAGTTGTCATGCCCTTCAAAACATTTGCTCCTAACCTCATCAATATCATGAACCAGGTAGCTCAGGCCCAGGGTGAGCTATATAAATGGTTAATGACCTTCCTCATGCTACCTGAAAAGAGGCCTCCCTTTCTGAGCTCAACGGTGGTACACGATTACACTGATGACATACTGCTGACCAGTACAGATGAGGCCATTCTGACAGAAACTCTAGATCCACAAGTGTGAGGGACAAAGGGGAAGAATTCAGCCCTGGGAATATCCAGGGTCCAGTCCATTTAATCAAATTTTGTGAAATAGAGTAGGTGGGGAAAACGCAGAACAGGCACTTTCTAGAATTAGCTACTGACATTCACTTCTAAAATTAAGAAGGAAGCCCAGAGGTTTATTGGACTCTTCGGGTTTTAGAGAACCTACATTCTCCATCTGAGTATCCTGATAGCTCCTTCTTAATAAATCACCCCAACTCTGCTTCTTTCAAGTAGGGCCTAGAAAAGGCCACAATCCTGGAAGATCTAAAGAAAGTTGTCCACCAATTTCTCCCCTTAAGGCGCTTGTGACCCTGCAAAGCCCACACTTCTGGACATCTCTAACCACAATGACCAGACTGAGTGAAGTCTTTGACAGGCACCAAAGGGTAGCCAGAATAAGAGACTGTTAGGCTTCTGAAGCTGCCACATTCCCCAATGTGGTCATTCACTATACTACTTTGAAAAGTAGTTGCCCAAGTGTTACTGGGCCCTAGTTGCTACTAAACAGATGATGCAGATAATCACCTTTGTTTGGGGTTGCCCATTATGAGTTGGATGACACAAGATGGTCCCTCTAAAAAGATGGACAGGGCACAGGGGGTTTCTATTGTTTAATGAAAATGGTACATTCAAAACCATGCTTACCTGGATCCCTTCAGTGTTAATATCCTTTACAAATAAAGGGTGGCTATGTCAGAGACTAAGGTCTCCAGTTCATGCCCTACAATTCTGCCTCCTCTGCAAACCCAAAGCTTCCTCAACTCCTTAAAAAATGACCTGACTCTCGAGGAACACCATTTAATTGATAGGTCTATCTAGTAAGAGAGATAAAGAGAGTAAAATCCACAAACTGGATTTTAACCAGTAATTGATAATAGGCGACCTTGTGGGGCTGGAGATCCTGGCAAGTCTTCCCAGTGAATAGAGTTCCAGAATGCATGGCTGGAATATGAAATAAAGCCCTAAGGGATAAGATAGAAAAGAAGTTCATCTATACAGATTCCTGAGCAGTAGCCATGGGGCTGGCCAACTCTTTAGGGGCCTGAAGGGTAAAGAACTGGACAGTTAAAAGTTTTCCCTTTTGAAGTTAGGACCAATGGAGGAATTTTGTCAGTACCTCCCACTACATACAACTGTTTGTGGGGCATGTCATAACCCATCAATAGTATATTACACTAAATAGGTTAGAGCCAAGAGGTTGAGAAGCAGGTTCACCCACTGCCAATATGGACCCAATGGGGTGGTGATGCCATGGTGCACCGGGCACAAGACCATATGATTCCCCTTAAGGAAAATGCAGCCAGTTATTCCTATCCAATAGGGTCCTTATATTAGTCAAAATAGCCACCTAACCCAAGTGGTCCTCAACCTGTCCCCAACTGGCAAAATGGCAGTCTACCATCTCAGGGCAAGAGGTTGCTCCTGCTAATCAACAGCGATATCATTATATACCTGCCTGCCCAAGTCAGGTGTCCAACCGCCTAGAAGCCAGGTCTTTGACAAATCAAAAAGAAATGGCTCTCTTTTGTCTAGTGTTTTCTAGGATTTGGTCTCCAGGGAGCTCTACTACCTTTTAAGAACAGACTGCTTTGGGACATAGTTATAGCAGATTCTCTCTAGCCCTTTCTTGCTTCTCCCTCAGAGCAGAATCACCATGGTTTCAAGGTCTTTGCCTCCTTTTAAGGTCCAATTGGCAGGCTGCCTTTCCTCTGGGATAGTTCAGATAATTCCTTCTCTGAATGGTTTGGGGGCCAAGGAGTGATATTGTTGGAAGGCACTGTGCTTTTTAAAACCATAGGGGAAATGAAACTCATTATTTAACTATGCTAAATGTATACTTACTTGGAAAAAAAGGGGATCCTCTACATAATTTGGTGGTAATTCTGAGTCCCTGGACAGGAGTGAAGAAGAGTCCTTATGGAGCTGCTGTGAAAGAATGGGGCAGCCCCTTGGCAGAG